TCGCCTTGCACCTCACGCCACGTGTGCAGGCAAGGGCCACGTGGGCATCGTGTGCAGGCTAGAGTCACGTGGGCATCGTGTGCAGGCTAGAGTCACGTGGGCATCGTGTGCAGGCAAGAGTCACGTGGGCATCGTGTGGAGAAAGGAAGCGGCCACACGACCCGTCGGGTTCAAAGGGCGCGCCCATTGGAGGTCCAAAGGGAGTTCAGCTGCCGCTGCTGCTATTGTCTCCCCGACGCCGATGTTCAGCCACCGCGCCGAGTCCCTCCTCATTGGAGGCTCATTGGATTTCACTTTAGGGTGGTGACCGTCACGAACAAAGGCGAAAGATGAAGGTCCCCCGTGTAGCCTTGACACAGTGTTGAAGCCAAGTGCTGCTAGCGAGCACCTACGAAGGTCGACGCGGAACACGAGGGGTGGGTGGCCAGCACCACGCCTGCCCGCCTTTGTCTCCTGAGTGACGACGTTTATACATCACAATAGGTGTCGTGCTCCTTTAAGGCTGAGTCGACCTTGGAGAGGTCCAGGACGAGATCAGATAATCATCACTGGTGTTGGCCGTGAGCGGGAATCGAACTCGGATTACCGGGTTCGTAGCATAGTGCACTAACTGCAACGCTCCCCATACACACACATGCACAAAGGCAACGTTCCCATATATAGCCATTCAAGTGTTCGGGTAAGTGCTGCTGGTTAACACATAAGGGGGGTGGGGGTGTGGCCAGACCCATGCCAGCTGGGTATGGGGCCAGCCACACCACCCCAACGGGGTGATCAATGTTTGGCCTTCGTCTCCCCCAGTGGTATTTATACACACCACAGTCGGAACTCGTTTAAGGCTGAATCGACCTAAAGGGAGACACGGGACCAGTTGAGGATGTAACTCGGGTCGCCAAACTCGCGGCGGAGCGAGCTGACTGCTTACACCATGGCACCCCACGCGTGCACGCTGACACACGCGTGCGGGCACACGTAGTGCCACGGTGGCTAGGAGATGTTAACTACCTCGCCTGGTATGCAGGAGGACTCGTGGGTGAGATACCGACCCTGACGCCTGCTGCTGCTGCTGTATATTTGGAGTTTGCGTGTCTCTCTCCCCGTGGTCGCGTGGACTTTCTCCGGGTCCTCCGGTTTAATCTTCCGCATTTATAATGAACATCACGCGTTTAGAGTATTTGGCTGCTATAAATTTCCACGCTGAGCTATCATTTGTGGCCAGGTCGCTTCTGAAAAAAAATATTTTTTGCTCAGTGGGGCCTGACCTGGTAAAATTACAAAGTTATTTCGTTGAGTATGTCTGAACCGCGAGAGAAAAAAAAACATCGTTTCGCTGGGGCAAGCGCCTTCTTTAACGTTCCCCTCCTCTGTTTGTTGAGCGAACACAACAACCCACTTAGAAGCCCCCTCCCCCAGTGCCGTCCGCCTGACAGTGCCGGGACATTTCGAGTGAAGCCCTTGCTAAGGGCGCTACAACCGCTTGTCAATATAGTCAATCATAGCTCTGCGAGAGAGCTGTATAACACAGGGCCGGCACAGCAGCAGCAGCAGCAGACATCTCCTGATAAAATATTTATTCACTTTATAAACAGCGGCGGCCCTCGCATATAGTTTAGGCGTGAACGCGTTAAGATTTACAGCGGCGGGCGCATTTGTCACGGTTTTGGACGCGCCCTGCTCGTTTAAACAACGGCACTGGCAGAGCGCGCGTTCTCACTGTCGGCTTATTCACATTTCGGGGGGAGGGGGGCAGTAGAAATCTGTTTGCGGTAAACTTTCATCGTGTGACAAACAGCCCCATACAAAAAACACACTGAGATGAAAGCAAAAATATACTGCAATAAATCCTAACGCGCATTTCTTTCCGCTGCTTTGGAGTTGTTAGGTCCCGGAGGTGGGGTGGAAGCCTCGGATTTCAACCGCCACTTTTATTTATATTCAACATCGCCAAGCGCAAAAGGCCAACAAGGCGCAAGCCACCCAGTGGCCAGTAACAAACGGCACGATTGACGGTGTCATAGATTTGAGAGAAAAAAAATATAGCTCTCGATTTTAGCAAGGTTGTAAGAACTTGGAAAGAGTGAAGCATTGCGAAATGTTCCCCCGAGCGTTCCAAGATCGTTCTTGGTTAATTCCACCTGCAAGGAGTGAGAACTTGGATACCGGACCTTCGATAGCGAACGCGGGAAAAAATATTTTAAGGAGCTTTCCGCATGCGGGAAGAAACCGAAGTGCCGACAAGAGAGTCCGTTGCGTTGCGGAAGACAACGCTCAAACTTCCACATGGATGAGTTCATAAACCCGCTCGTGTGGTGTTGTCAGCGTATGAACTCCCAGCAGCCGAGTGTAGTTGGGAGTTCCACAAAGGCGTGCGATCCACCAACCCCTGCCTGTCCAGGCACGTGTGTATGGGTGTGCATCACCATGCCTCGACGTCCTGCGTGATCCACCAAAACCCGAACGTTTAAGCCTCTGCCTTAAAAGCCACGATTCTTCCCCTTCACTCAGACCTTGTGAGCACTTCCAACAACACTCGGCACAACCACCAGGGCTGCCTGAGGGTAGGTGGTGGTGCTGGCCCATTTGGAGCCCGCATCATAAATTACGTTTTGGGGGCTCCCCTTAACAAATGTAGAAAATCCTAGGCAGATGACGGAAGAGATATAGATAAGATATGTAGATTTAGTGATGCAATAGAGAATGTAGACAAAAGAGAGTTGTAGTGAGGATGAGAGGAGAGAGACGCAAGCAAGATAAGAGATTTTGATTTAAAGCTTTCGTGACTGCAGTAATTCATATTCTTAGCTCTTTCGGTAAAGTCACGTTGAAGGGAAACAATAAAATAATATTGTTTTATATATATTTTATTGTTTCCTTTCAACGTGACTTTACCGAAAGATCTAAGAATATAAGATAAGAGATGATAGGTCGATTAGCGTTTAAATGTTAATTAGTTTATTATATTAATTAGGATTAGAATTTTAGTTGATATAATTTGACGCGCCCATATTTTAGGAATTCGGAGCCCCCCGGCGCCCCCCTCCTCAGCGACACGGGGCCCTTAGCTTTTGCCTGGCGTGCTATGAGCCAGCGCCGCCTCACCGCAGCGGGTCACCCAGCAGCTAAGACGAAGACGAAGACACTTGAGTTTCTCTGTCGCCACTGTCGCTGGTTTAAGTGGCGAACCTGCACGCTCTTCCTCCCCACCCCCTGCAGCCCCGTGCCCAGCAGCCGTTTAATAGTCCCAGGACACATCGACGGGGGTGCCCTATTCAGAGCCGTAATCTGACGGGTTCTGTACAATTAAAGCCAAACAAGTGACATTTGGAGTATCCTCATGCGTGTAAGTGCAACTTGATCTAGACTGTTAACCTGCACGAATGGAAGCTACTGATGGGAGCGGGCCCGTGCCGCCTCTCTCCAGCTGGTAATTGCGCAATTATTCTTCTCATCAAAGCGGCTAATAATGAGCTAATTAAGTTAATTGTTAACAGAAGCCAGAGCAATCCCCAAGTGACCCTGGGCCACGTGGCGCACACTTGATGTGGAATAAATGCTGACAATAAAGCCAGGAGCTGCACAACACAGCGAGTCCTCTGAGCTGAAGACAAGCAGCAGTATCACTGTTGCAAGCTGTTTTGTCGCATATGTTGTGAAAATGCACGTGCTAATTTTTGTTTGTTTACATTGTGTTTGCTTTTGTTTTGCAATGCAAGACGGATTTTTAGTTTTCGTTGCAATGCCTTGCTCTGGCAATTTTAACAGGAGAGTGAGTGGCCTATTGTAGGCCTGATTTCATACTCCCCCACCCTCTCATTTTGCCTCAGTGGCCCAGCCCAGACAGTTGACCTGAACCAGGTAAGGAATCTAGTCAATTGATTGTGGCCTGTGCAGGCAATTGCAAAACATAAAAAAATGTCATCATAGGACAGAATAATAATGATATATAAAAGTCAAATAACTATGATAAAAGTTCCAATTTATGAGTGAAAAACAATCAAAACAGTTTTTACGTGGAATATCTGCACACATTGGCGACCATTTTATTTTTCCATTTGCGTTGCCTCTGACAACGCGAGTGTCAATCTCACGTGACATGACTCCAGCCCAATCACAGCGAGAGAGCATGTGTGTGACAAGACATCTATTTGAAATAATTTATGGACAAGGGTGAAGTTCGGTTGCAAATCAACATTCAGGAGCATATATATGATTTCGAAGTTATATATATGATATGGAAGCTAAATACATTCAGAAGCTATATTACACCAAATTGTATTTTATATAATGGCCTATTCTTGCGAATAATGCTACTGGAGAAATCTAAAACATACAAATCACATCAGATGGTGCCAATTCCCAGCAGAAATTGCCAACTCTATGCAAACTGGCTCAGCATTGATCTTTTTGGCTGCAAAGTTATACGCAGCCCCGTTATTACACCAGCGATTGTAACCACAGCAACAGGGAACCCAAAATGAACTCAAACTGAACGTGAGTGAGTGATGGAATGAGAACTGTGGAAAGTAGGTGGAGATGCACCGCTTGCAATGCCGTGCCTCCGTTTCCCGACAACACACGAGGCAAAAAGGGGCCCAGTTGGTACCACTTGAGGTGACATGCACGATGGGCAGTTATCTATGACTGTGTTATGGACACACTTCATATTAAATGTTTTATTCCGTAGATGTTCGATATCACGCAAGTTATTAGTTTGTTGTACTTCCCCCGTACCTCCGATTATCACGGGTGGCTATGTACGGTGCCAAAGAAGTTCAGCATACAAGTTTTTTTTTTCTCCAAATGATATTCTCTATCAAACACGCTATGTTACCTACCTATGATAAAAAGAAACATTTCCTCTCCTAAAAAGCTACCCTAACTTACAAATTTGTGATCTAGAAATAAAACATTTCAAGATATGTCACCCCGGGTGGTGGTATCGACAAGCCATCTTTTGGGGCCAGTGGCTTGAAAATGACCGCTTAACCCTCCGTGCTTACTTCAAAAACTGTCCGTACTCTTCGCAGACCGCCTCGCAGCCCGGCCACTTGCACACGCCGTGCCCGAAGAGCGCGTGGCTGCTGCTGATGCTGCCTCCGCTGCCGCTTCCCAGATCGTCCTGCGTGCTGCTGCAAACACACAGAGAGAGGAAGGAGGGGATCCTCGCTTACTTCAACGATACGCCATTCTTATCTTACCAGGTAAGGCCCACTGAGCTATGTAGCTCTTTTTCAGAAGTAATCTGGCTATCACAAATGATAGCTCAACGAAGTGGCTTATCATGTGGACATTTATACAAGCCAAATACTCGAAATGCATGTTCCAAATCATGGAGGGAAAACCTGCAGGGCCCAGAGAAAAATCCACGTGACCACGAGGAGAGAGATGTGGAAACTCCACATATACAGGCGTCAGGTTTTGTGATCGCACCCACGACCTCCCACATTTGAGGCGAGGTAGTTAACATCTCGCCACCGTGGCACTAAGTCTCACAGAGGTTTTTTGTGGACCGTGGAGGTGCGGATACAGAGGGGCGGGATGCGTTGCAAGTATCTTCAAGGGGTCTGGTAAAGGTACCAGGTATCTGCATCGCATGCTCCAAAAAGTGACTGAGGAGTCCACAGAGTGACAAAGCATGCCAGAGCAAGATCTGTACGCCAGCTCACAAACCCCACAGAGACCGCTACGCGGGGGGCTGCCAACTGTCCTCGTCCTGACTTGACCAAGGCACCCTCTTGATGAGGTAGCTGACCAGGGAAATCTGCGAGTCATCCTAGGACATCATGAATCCCAGGTTTCCTCAGTTGCTTAATAGTAATAATATGCGACTCAAGACAGTGAGGTTCTATGTAGTTCTCCCCTCTTCCGGAATTATTAAATATTCCACTTCCCACGAGGCATTACGGGGTTTTTTGTTGGGACGTGAAGAGGCGGCAAGCCTACGTGTGACTCTTGTTTCACTCAGTGGTGAAGTATGGAGGGGGGCAGTGGGGGGCTGCTGGTTTCCCCCTATGGCCTTAACAAACCGTTTGAGCAAGTGTTGTTCAGGAGCATCGATACATTTCGGGTACAACACACGACGAGCAGGTGGTGGTGTGGCCAGTGCTGAAATTTACACACCGCACCAGATACTCATGTGTGGCTGAGTCGACCTAGGGGAAGCCCAGGACCGGTTCAGATAATCGTCAACGGTGTTGGACGTGAGCAGGAATCGAACTCGCTGGATTCGTAGCGCGGTGCGCTGACCACTGCGCCACCGCTCTGCGTACACGCACTCACAATGTCCCGGTGTGACCTACAGATTTCCCTGGACAGCACCTCCGATTAGCACGGTTGGCTACGTAGCGGCGTGAAAAAAGTTCAACACACGTACACGTACATAGGTAGACTCACGAAGACAAATGACAGACACGCACACACGCCACGCAACGGGTGAACACGGGCAGGCACGTTCAGTTCCCGCAACCGCCGATTAGTACCGTTGGCTACGTACGGTGCGAAAGAAGTCCAAACACAAGTGCGTACAACAGCAGCGTGAGCACGAAAGTCAAGGATCCCTTCTCCGCTGACGCAATGAGCCCCCACACCCCCCTCACCCCCCCCCACGAAGGAATCGCTCGCATTGATCCAGACGCCACGCTGAAGATGAACGCCTCTTGTTGGAGGTGAGCGCATGCCCTTTATATTTGAGCGCTGTTAATTGCTCTTGGGTAATTAACGGCATTGCTAATTACGCAAATTGCTATTTATGCTAATAATCGTGTGCTAAGAGGAAGGGGTTACGTAAATATGATAATCAACCGCTAATTGAATTCCTAACAGTTCATTAAGGCAAGTGTAAGTAAATTAGTTTAATTAGATCAAACTTTAATGCAACGTGGAGCTGACAGACAATGAGCGTTATGGATTTCATACAAACGCTTTCCTTGAGAGAACAAAACGAAGTGGATCTAAACAAATCACATTCGTTAATTTTGTATTTGCATAAAAATAATGTTTTATTCATACGAGGGAGCGAGGTACGCTTATTTATTTACGCACAATTAAGCCGAAAAAAATGTATCTAATGAATTGTAACATGTTATATATTTTTCATCAATAATTGTATTCTGGTAATTATATTCGAGAAAGCAACGTCCACTGGGGGAGATGGAGCGATGAAATCAGTTAATGCGCAGGTGCTGCACAGATTGTTGCATCGCAATAATGTGAGGGGTGGGGGCGGCGATGTTGGCGGAGGCTCGGGGAGGCCTTCATCCAGCAGCGGATTGATCATGGCTGCCGCTGATGATGTTGACGACATGACTGTGCTGTAGCACCAAAGGGAAGAGGCGTCCGCGGTCGAATGCCTCCTGCCAGCAGAGCATTTCATCGCGTGGGAGAACGCTCTGCGCAGATGACACCGCCAGACATAGTTGTGGAGTCACTTCAATAGACCTCTCTGTCTCCCAACGCCGGTGAACATCACACAGCGCTCCACTTACACAAGTCAGTTTAACCACCACGACAGCGGACGCGACAAGAGCAGACGAAAGCGGCGGCGTTAGCGCGTGGAGGGAGGACATCCGAGCAGCCGAAACGCACGTAACAATGAAGCAAATCACGGGGTGATTGCTGCTGAGGCTGCTGCGTTGACAGTGGTGCAGAAGCACAGCCAACAACACCAACTCAACACGTTCCCTGTCAATAACAACTTTTGGCCTTAAAGACGAAAGCAATACGCTGCGTGTAATCGGTGCCGTTGTCGGTCAATGGCCCTTCTTTCATGGCAACAACGGGGACTTTTCTGGCTTAGGAAAAAGACGTGGAAGTTAAACCACCCGTTCAATCAAAATAAACATGATTGCTACCGCTTGGAATATAGATTTGTTTTAAGTCATTGTCGCAGATGCAGACTTTACATGGGCTCATCGTTACTACCACTTTCTCTTTACACATTGTTAAGTGTGCATTTAGGATCCAAGCACTCATATTTGTCATTAAACCAGCAGTTTTAATGCAGATGTCAAAGCCGAATAAGCAGAAATAAAAGGAGACATCTTTACAACCCATATGTTTACATTATACATATGGTGACTCCTGAATAGCAGTTGACAACATATGAATTAGTTCATTAAGTGTTTTGTAAAGAAACAAGATATTTTTTCATGATCTCAAGGTTTATCCTGTAAATATGCTAACACTAGCAATTAATTAAGATCTGGTTGCAAAAAGTTATATGATTGGGCACTACTAACTTTATTTTCTGTTTCTTGGTAAGAAAAACTTGAACGAGGCACTCCAATATAAGCTCTGGGTCACAGGTCCCTGTAGCTTCAACAGTGTGGGTAAATTTTGATTTAAAGCTTTCGTGACTGCAGGGATTCATATTCTTGGTTCTTTCGGTAAAGTCACGTAGAAGGCAAACAATAAAATAATGAAAAATAAAAATATAAAACAATTGTTTTATATTTTTATTATTTTATTGTTTCCCTTCTACGTGACTTTACCGAAAGAACCAAGAATAGTGTGGGTAAAATCAATTTTAATATCTGATTTTAACAATTTAAAAACTACGTGCATGTTGCCAGTTTTTAGTTAATGGATCAGAGACATGGTCCTTAAGAAATACATAAGCAAAGGACACAACAAGCTGTGCTGATGATCTATGGAAATAAGTACGTTCTGAGTACGACGAAGAGATGGATGGGTTGAGGAATGAAGACATCACGAGCATCAGGGGGGTCAGCGACGCTGCTGCCAAAGCAGAAAGAGATCCCGGTGCACGTGGGCAGCAGGGGAACAAGCGACAAGAGACGGAACGAACTCCGTGAGAGCGGAGACCGAGAGGGAAGAGAAAAAGCAGAGCGAGATGGCAGCAGCAGCGAGACAACGTCACGGAGTTCGGAGGTCACGAGTGGACAGGTCACGACTGGACAGGCGCAGCCAAGGGGAGGAGTGAGTGGGACTAGACTGGGGGAGACATTAGGCCAGCAGTGGAACACTACAAGCTCATGTCAACAACAACAACAACAACCTGAATGAGCCGCACGTTAATAGACAATTGCCAATTTAACAATAATTTCAAGACGCATGGCGCTCATACGTAACGGCAGTGGTGCAAAAATGTCACATTTTAATGTTCAACCAACGGTGGACCTCCCACGAAGTGGTACGGGTTGTTTTTATCAGGCACTGAGGGATGATTGGCTGATTTTCACCACGAACCAGGAATTTAATTCACAACTTTCCACAGCAACACCCAGCCAGACACCACCGACACTGTACCTGGAATTAATTTCATTGCATTACGTTTAAAAGAAAGCTATAAATTGCAACAGAAAAGTTAGGCAATTTTGTAATGATTGCAGTCTGGTGTATGGAAGGCATGGCACATACCAAGTGGTTTAAATTACAAAAAAGCAACACATTAGACACACATGCACAACATACAGAGGCACTTTGTTTTTAACATTTGTTCATCTTTATATGTCTGCTATTTAAATCGTACATCCGATGTTTCACTGCTCCGGATTGCTATAATCACTCCACTTATGGTATATTGTATGCTTATAAATGTCTGGCAAGTCTGAAATTCTTAACCCGCACAAATGCTTTCCAGAAAGAAAAAAAAACTTCCCTATAAGGAGGCACTCACGAGCAATAATTATTCTACAAGAGCATGTTATTTTAAAATAAATACCAAACTGTGGGCCGAAATCAGCATTGGAAAGTTACCAGTAGTTGGCAATTTCAGGTCAAAGAAATCTTAGTTTAAGGCTTGGTGGGGAGGACAAAAATGTCGAATCGAACTTGTGGGCTGCACGATGCGTGTGCTCACGCTCGCCCACGAGTCTAACCATTCGCTCAGTGTTGGTGACCAGAACATTTTCAGAAGTCCGAACAAATGCTGAATGCCCCCACGTGACGGACATGTGTAACAGGGCACATTTTCCACTCAAAACCTGGAACAAATTTTAACGGATGGATTTCTATTCTAAGAGAGAGTGGATAAATGTTGGCTCTTTGTGATGATCGCCTTGATAGAAATCTACAATATGACACGATATATATTTTTTCTCTCTCAATAATTTGAAAGCAAATGTTGGGGGGTACATCACGTGATATGTGGCCTGTTATGACACCTGGCACCTGGCACACGCAAGTTTACAATTGCGCCTGGTCTGTAAGTCGGCGCTCAGTCTTCTTCGTGTCTCCTGTCCAACCTATATCGTCTCTTCCCAATGTTCTGCACAGGCCACCGCTTCTGGTGTTGGCATTGCCAAATCTTGGGGAGTGGTATTGTGGTGCTGCAGGGCATCTCAGGTAATGATCCACGTGGTTTGCTTCTCCCGACAAGCACATTGGTCGGTTGTGCAGAACCCCCTTGATTTCATGAGAGAGTTGCGCTCAGTGCGCCATAAAGATTCGAGACTCACGGCATTGTGTGTTCCATTTGTAAGAGAATACCACATTCGCAGTGCATATCATGATGAGCACCATGATACATTCTGAGCGTATGTGATGTTAACGCACGTTCACCCGTGTTGTATTTAGTCACGTAAGTGTGGTTGTTGTTGTTAGTGTCAACATATGGGGTTAGGAGAGTACGTCTTACTTTCCGGGCGCGTCTTTTAATCCGCAGAATGTGGTACTGCTCGTTAATTCTGCCTCTCACTCACGTGTGCCTCTTGACCTCTGCTCACAATGGAACGCTCATTACAGATATTCATTGAGTCCAAGGGTAACTGCTACACGAGTCAAGATTAACTGTTGTCTATGAGACAAGGTTAAGAGCTTTCCGTGATTCATTACGAACGGCTCTTAACATTCACTGCAGATCGTTAGTGAATCAAAATTAACATTGTAAGTGAACGGGTAGGTTATTAGTAGTCAGTGCGACTTGGAGAGTCAAGCTTTATATGCAATGTTAATATGCAATGTTAATATGCCATTATTGCGTATGGCACTGCGTTCAGGAGCCGCATGCCAATCTTGGGGTCTGCGAGCCAAGAGGAGAGATCTTCGGGAGAGAGTTTGCGTAGCTTTGCTATTCCCCCTCCATTGAAGGAACGCAGACTGCAGTGGTTTACGAGACGGTCCATGGTGACGTACCTCACTTATCCAGGCGAGCTACACGGAGTGCAAAGACTCCCGTTCATCAGGAGGGTCATGCGGCGGGACATTTAGTCAGTTCCCTTGAGGAGTATTTTAAGCGCAAGGCTGACGGCCACCAGCTAGTAAACGACACCGGTGTCAACAAACCACAAGGCAAACAATAACAGCCGTCAATGAAACGGGGCTAACAGCGGCACCATCGGTCCATCGATCGGGGTTAACTGCTGTCTATGAGGCAAAAGTTAACAGAAGTTAATTATGCCTGTTTAGCTGTTGTTAATGGGTGATAAAAACGGTTCCCAACGAGCCTAGGTTTACAGCCGTCAATTATTTACGGATGACATTTGTCTATGGGTCGAGGTTAATGATTGGCGATGAACCAAGTGTCATAGTTTGCCAAGGGACCACAAGTGGTCTTTCTATGAAGACGCTGGTCTTTGATAAGATGCTGGTCCCTGCCAGAGGAATTATGGAATCCCCACCACTGGCTCCAGGACACCCAATGGTAATGAGTGCCATGCCATGCTCATTTAAGGCAGGAGTTATGATTTAAAGTCAAATGAGAAAAACCGAGTGGCCGTCTACTGAGCCATGGCCAATGAGAATCCAGGCTCAAGTGGTCAATCTGGTCAATGCCACACCTGGGCATCACTACCTTCTTTCTCAATTGCTAAAACCCACGTGGTAACATCGCCCCCCTACTGGCGGACTGCACCCATCTGTTGAACGTAGTGCCGTAAGAATTTCGCGAATACCAAAAGCACTCACGAGCATCATCATCATCATCCATGAGGGAATCTGAGCCTGTTAGACTTTTCAAATATTGTTTTAAACTCACCCGTTATTACAAGCTGTCTCAGTAACTTAAGCTTCATGGAAAGTGCTTTGAGGCCTTGTGCGGATTGTGTGATAGAAAACTGAGTTCATCATCACCATCGTCGTCGTCGCTCTGCACCGGTTAACTGCTTCCAACTCTATAAAGCAAAACGATTGTCAACGAGCCAATGGCGAGCGGGGCTCTCGCCAACGGCAACGGTTCCCGCGGCGTTCTGGCCAGCTCACCTCTCCCGCCGCTGAGAGTGGCTCATCGGGCCCGCCTGCCCGTTGGTGAGCGACGGGAAGGGCAGGCTGGGGGATGTCTTGGAGACGGTGGATGACGACATGGAGGAGCCGGAGGAGGTCACTGAGCCGATGGACCCTCCCAGCGAGAGGTCGAGGCCTCCGTTCTTGGCCGCCGGCAGGTGCGGGGGTGGTTCCTCGGAGCTGTGCGACGCCATCGCCGCCTCCTTCCACAGCTGCTGGAGCTCCGCGGGGATGAGGCCTGGCACCAGCGCACAGCAGACGACAACGGCGGTTACCGGGGCGGTTACCGGAGCGGTTACCGGGGCGGTTACCGGGGCGGTTACCGGAGCGGTTACCGGAGAGTGGTTGCCGGCAGGTCGCAACGTTGAAAAGCGCACGGACGCACTTTACTTCACACGCGGTTGCAATTTACTTTGCCCAGTCGGTGGTAGCCGCCGAGGGCGTGACGGGGTTTATTTTTGTTTCAATCCTGTTGCTCCATGCCCCCTGTAACCGTTCCCGTTCTGCTGCAATGTGTACCCATTGCCGACTTCATTGAGGGTGATATCGGCACGTAAAATAAATATTGATGGATGATTGATGGTAAATCCCTGTTAGACCCAGCACGAGGTTCCCTTTGGCGGTTGACAAAGACAAGTAACACTTTGTGCCGATGTTAGGGAGAAAACGGGTTGGGTACACACGTGGTCTGTCATCCAGCACTGTTGATTCGGCAGTGAGGGTTGGTGGGCGTTGAGGATCTGCAATACCCTTGGCTCGCCAGGAATAGGCGGTACAGCAAGTGGACTAATTGCCATTTGTTTCCATCTGTAGGGGAATATGAGTAATGCCCCGTCACATGCTTGGGTTTTCTCCAGGTGCTCAGGTTTCCTCCCCACTTGCATAATACGCAACTCATAATTAATTGGCTGACGAACGTCACAAAATAACAACCCAGACGTCAGTGTGGTTCTCGTGGGTAAATACGTAAATAAATATATATATTTAAATCACTGCCTGAGTATTGCCACGGAAACTAGGAGACGACTGTGCCGGTCCTCTCCCACTGAGGGCAGCTATCAGACATCACGTTTGGGTGTTGTCACCCTACTACAAACATTATATGCTGGGCAATCTACATAACTTAATTCACATCACAGTTGTGTGAAATCATTAAGGTTATAGACGAAACTACAATCACAATTATTTTGAAAAGTGTTATTAGAATGAAGGGATTTTTCAAAATATCTGAGTTTGAGAAAAACATTTTTAGTTCATCCCTATGTTTGTCATGAACCTCCACGGAGTCGCTTGGACTACTTGGGGGGGCCCTGAGCTTTTGCACAGCTGGCCGATGCCCTGGTACAGCCCACTCGAGATTTGCACCGCTCATGCCCAGTTCAGCTGGGAGACACTTTGGCTGTTGTCTAGGAGCGAATTGGCAATTTATATTCACTGCCCTTTATTCAAACAGACAATAGCCCGCGGAGGTTATTAATCTCAGATTTCCATTCATTGCAAATGTACTCAATCTCATCTTCATTAGTGAGAGTCAAAATAAAAACTACTTATTCTTAGGCCAGTGGCCCTTTCTTGCATAAATATTGACAAGAAAACTCAATATTACGAGCGACTCATGGCCGGTGAATGCACAGTACCACACGATCCCTTGGACAGAGTCGGCAACACAGACGAACACGCACAGGTTTCGCGGGACGGAATGAACCGCCTTTCACGGACACAGAATAACGTGAGCCTCACGCACGACGGCAACTGTATTCACGCTTTGCGCGATTTCACTCGGAAACTGCACGCCGATGACGGACATTTTGTGCGAGTTGAGGGAAAAAAAATTGCCTTCAAATAAATTTGGATATTTTAGCAGCCTTGTGGGCCCAAGAAAAACCCACGGCTGAGGAATTGGTATTAATTGAGATCCAGAGCTGCAAAGTAACACCGCGCCAATGCACAATCTCATTATTTCGTGATTAATATAAATTGAGAGGGAAAATCCAAACGTCAATTAAAAAAGAAACACATACCTGTGAGGCTTAATAAAGAATGGTGTTGTAAATTAAGTTATTCCGTAATATCGTGCGTGTGCGACCACACTGAAACGTAACGCGAATTACTCGGCACGAAACGGAAGGGAGAGATGTACTCGTACGAGGGGGAATCTTTCAGTACCAAAACACAACATCGCAATACGTAACAAAGTGACGTTTAAACTAATGACACGCTTTGTTGTAAAAGATAGTGAATTTAATGTCCACGAGATACGCGAGGCATTCACATTGAAGCATTACTGCTTCATTTTCTCAACATAGTCACATGGTAAAATGAATGCCACTTTATAGGAATATAACAACCGAATAATAATAATAATGTACAGCCCTCTTTGTATCCACTGCGGGGTGAAGCCCACCCCTCCCCCCCCCCCCATGCTGTTTATGAAGGATGGTTGACCATACTTCACCACACTGGTGAGTGTGGGTCCGTGAAGGTCAGGGGGGAGGACAGATTCTGAACTCACTGGCCACCAATGGTCGCTGTGGCTGGACCACGCACTCGGGTTGCCGTGCTCGTCACGCAGTGCCGCCAACCACCGTGCCACCGCTCCCCTTGAACGGTGCTGAGTGTTGGTTTCTTCCGCCCATTAAGACATTGAGAGAGACTGGCACCCACCACAGTAATGTGGAATTACCACCACTGGCTCAGGGCAGTCGATGGAGAGAGATACCACCTCATCGACACTGTGACTCGGTGTCGATGAGGTGTGACGAAGAATGGTTGTCTCGTTGTCTTGGTGACACCCTAACTCGTACGAGAACCCACGACCCTTCACAACTATTGGGTTATACGAGTAGAGGGAGGGAACATCCCGAGCCAGCCTGTGCAGCCACCTCGTTTCATGAAACACGTGGCGATACGTTGGCCATCTACAGCAAAAACACACACACAGCCAGCCAGCTGCAGCAGCAGCAGCACTGAACTATGAGGGGGGAGCAATGGGATACGACACTCGGGAGCTTTTTAACCAAATGCTACCTTTGAGCATCGTCGCCTAGGCCGAGGCACATTACAGCGTTTAACCCCCCCCCTGCCCCCCACCCGAGTTAAACGCGGCGGCTGTGACCCCGGTACTTGGCTGCGAACCCCGCGGTGGACCACAGCGACGTGTCGTTGGGTTGCACTCACTGCGAAGGAACTGCGCTCGCGTTGTGGGTAACACCGCAGCCGGATGGACGTGGCTAAAGCCTCATATCTGTCATTATCCATCGCCGCGCAAATGGGGTGGACTGCACGCCCCCCTCCATCTGCGTATCCCACCCCTATAACGAGAAAATAAGAAAAAACTCCCTAAAACTTCCCTAGCAATAGGTTTTATAATGGAGGCCGCGGTCGACGTGCGGTTTTGAGTGGCGCGCTTGAGCGTGGTGCACGGGGCCGGGGGCCGCTTCACTCCCGTCGGGCGGCGGTGTTTGTGAGACCAATTGCTTAAATGCGCACGACGATAATGTTGTTGTTGTTGTCGGTGTTGCTGAGCGTGAGCCGCGTCAAAGACTTGTTGAGATAAGACCACTCCTCCTCCTACTCCTCCTCGCGTGCACACACACACACACGGCTCACTCAATGGAAACATTCCCCGAGATGCCGCGATAAAAAAACAAGGAAAGAGAATACTGCATGAAAAATACATGTGCATATTTTTTTATAAAAAAAAAAATCTTATCGGGACACGGATAATCCGTAGCCCTCCTTCTCTTGCTCCGACACGCAGCGTTTAATCAAGGGATGCGTTGAATGTTGTGCACCCTTCAAGCAAACAATCTGATCGCTATCGGGACACCGTGCCTGCAGGGCTAAGTGAGAGCACAGCCATAAATAACCACGGCAGTCGCTACGGATGATCCATTCGTCACATTCGCGCCGCCAGTGGACGCCGATGTTGGTCGCCGCAGAATCTGCGAGTTCTGCTCGCTAAACGCAATGCACTCGGGCTGGAGCGATATAATTTTTCACGGTTCAATTTCAAATGTCACGTTGCGAACGGCGATCGCGATATCGGTTTCCCCACCCATAACTTTGTAACGATGCTTTTTCATGCCGTGATTGTATCGTTTGTTTTATTTGTGATCTGATGTGCCTGTTGCCCGAATGAATATCACTTTAAAACTTGTTTTCAAACCGGCGTTCGCTCAGCTCAACCCTGCCCGAAGGCTTTTTCTAATCATTTCAATATATGACGCGTATAACGCACAATGCTTTTAGTTACACTAAATATAATTAGGCGATTAAACAAATTCCCAAAACGATGATGTCTTATAACTGCGATGTTGTCATTTTCCTCCCAAAAAAGCATTTGGCGAAGGGCGAAGGGTGAATGTTGCGGATGATTTACAACTTTAATTATTGCGTGACCTTTATTTATTTATTTCTCGAATGCTTTTTGTCTCGAAAGAAAATCATGAAGAGAAACAAAATGAGCAACGATAATTAGGACATTGCGATGTTTTTAGCAAAAACGGACGATGTGTGTTATGTTTGCAGCATCACAGCAGAGTGGGCTGGGTTCAGAGACCACCTCTGGCTAAGCGGAGGCCAAGTGTTCTTCCGCTTCTGACCTTGAGGGACTGGAATTCTGTTTCACTGCTTGCTCACTTCCCCTGCTCGATTCCGAACACAAGAGTTTCGCACTGCGTAGGTTTGTCGCGGTTGCACTGCACAGATCTCCGATGTTTTTCTGGGTTGGGGCGTGCGGTTTCTGACCCACCCATACTGGACATCTGTGAAAAAGAGCTTCATAGCTCATCGGATTCCTGCTCAGCCAGTCTACATAAAGATTCATATTCTTGGGACCTTCCTTCTTAGGAACTTAAATTAAGCACTTCCACCACACTATTCAGTTCCTGAAGAAGCTCCTAAAAGGTGGAGCAAAACGTCGGACATTGTGCCGAACAGCATACGGAGTGACCCGAAAACGCAGCGGAGAGCCGTACAGCTCAGCCGGGAAAAACTACGCAGTTGTACTCATTTGACAAATGTTATATATCGTTCCATATTTGTGTTACATATCACTACACCGCTATGTGCGTCACTCTGTAGGTAAGTCATTGCTGCCCGCAATGAGGCCATGGACTGGCAAAAGAGATGATTCTACAGTTATAATCACAGCTGCAACAAAGACACAATTTGACCAAATTAGAAAATAACACCGCAAATAACTCAATTGGAAACTTAGGTAGCAAGCGCCAGCTCCTACTGGCAGACTAATACCCCCAGTTCACCCTTGAAAATTAGACTATCGCCTGATCTCTTCCGAGTTCTCGCCTGCTTAAGCAAAAATACAACTCGGAACATCTATTTTACAACTTACCAAAGAGACTAAATTGTACGCACTCAGTTTGCTATTCGCAACCGTTCACTCTCAAAGGAAGGCTGGGTCTCCACAGGAGCACCAAACCCCCGCAACTGAACATGAGCGAGAGGACCATATTCCGAGCCTTCCAAATCTGCCCATCCTCACACCTCCAAAGGCGATGTCAGTTCCAACTGCCTGAGATAATCCCCATCGCGAGCCACATGCCACATAGGGTTTCAAGATCTTTGTTTGCTCTCTTGTTAATGTATTCCCAAAGCCAATCAAATGTCTGTGCCATAGCTTTGAAGAGCAAAGACAAACAGACTTTCAAGAAAGGCCCCCCCCACACCTCTTAACGTGTTTGGGGTGGCTCAGGGTTTGCTAATGCCGCGTCAGACGACCGCTCGGATTCTGGGTTCAAATCTGGGTACAGGAGGAGGACATTAACGGCTGTCTCTTACTTTCCGCTGCAGAACAACGTTTTCTACGGGCAGTGAGCAGTAACAATGAGGCCACTGCCGGACGAATGCCTCCTCACGCCGTGCCAGACATTAAACCGTGGACGTGCCGGGTTTTATCCGTGTGGGTTGCGAAGAGGAGGCCGGAAATGAGTGGATTTCACTCACCGCTGACGTTAGCCATGGCCGGGAATCGGAGCGAGGTCGCCGGATTCATGGCGCAGTGTGCTAACCACTCTGCCACTGCTCCTAATATTTTAATGTATGAAGTAAAACAGTGTAAAGTGCACAGAGGCAGTATTAATTGCGACAATTCGACTGCGCATTGCACCTCCTAGTAATGAATCTGCTCGTCAAGATTGAGTTCAAACATGCTGTATGTCCAAAGTTGTTTTTCCATGACTATATTTATCTTGTTTAGTGGTTCCCACTACTTTTCTAACTGAGTTATTACTTCTAAACATTTGAATAACTATATTCTTGGTTCTTTCGGTAAAGTCACGTCGTGAATATTTTATTGTTTTATATTTTGATTATTTTATTGTTTCCCTTCTACGTGACTTTACCAAAAGAACAAAGAATATGAATCCCTGCAGTCACGAAAGCTTTAAATCAAAATTTGAATAACTGTACAATCATGCAAATACACAAAGCCTAAATCAGCATGGATTCAAAAGTGGTAACTTTTCCAGCAATTTACAAAAACATCCGTTTTAGTTGATGTGTTCGCCACTGGACTACGCATTCAAAAGTTGGCCCAGATTTGTCAAAAATTGGAATATACGCCACAAAGACAAAGATCGCGTCTATAACCTCCACAGACTGTTGTGGCAAGTGCTGTTAGTGAGCACATATCAAGGCCAACATGGCACATGAGGGAGTGAGTGGCCAGCACTATGCCCAACCGCATTTGTCTCCCCCTTGTTGATGTTGATACACCACACCGTGTACTTATTTAAGGCTGGAGTGACCCACAGGAGGCTCAGGACAAGTTCATAAATTCGTCATTGTTATTGGCCTTAAGTGGGAATAGAACTCGGGTCGTCCGGGTTTGTAGCGCAGTGCGAAAACCACGGCATTGCTGCTCCCCGTGTCAACATGTCGCACATGGCGAGATGTTAGCTACCTCGCCAAGTATGCAGGAAGCCGTGGGTTCGATCCCAACCGTGAAGCCTATGAATTTGGAGTTTAAATGTTTCTCTCCCCGTGGTCACGTGGATTTTTCTCTGGGTCCTCCGGTTTTCCACCTCCAACATTTATAATTAAGATGCGTTTGGCTGCTGCTATAAATGTCCACGTGATAAGTCACTTAGCTGAGCTATCATATGTGGCCGGGTCGCTTCTGAAAAAGAGCTACAAAGCAGCTCGGTGGGATTCACCTTGTAAAATAAAAATAAAATCGTTTATAGTCGTTTACATACATACACACACACATTCACACTCTGACACACGTACATTCAACTCAGGCAAGTGCTACCTTCCTTTAACGAAGATGATCACCGCAAATGTAGAATAAATTTCAGATTCACCGATTCCAAACAAATTAAATGAAGGGGAAAGAACGGGGACAATAATTTCAAATTATTTAGCAGAATGCTCAACCCTCTCTACATTCGCTGTGCATATTGTATGGCATTAATTAATAAAACATTGCAGACTAGTTATTTTGACATGCTCTTTTGGGATAGAATTGTCCTAGCAGTGAATTTCAATTGCCAGCAGAGACCGGTTAAAAAAGAAAAAACTGGAAATGTCTGATACTGCCTTCAACCATGTACACATACAACGATCCCTCCCTATAGCCTGCACAGCAAGTGTTGTTAGCGAGCACCTATAACGGCCGGCACGGCACACGAGAGGGTGGGTGCCCAGCACCACATCCAGCCACCTTCGTCTCCCTCGTGGTGATATTTACCCATTGCCCCAGGTACTTATTTGAGGCTGAGTTGACCTAGGTGAGGCCCAAAACTGATTCAGATAATTATAATCATCACTGGTGGTCGCTGTGAGCGGGAATCAAACTCGGGTACGCTGGGTCTGCAGTGCAGCGCACTAACCAATACACTATCGCTCCCCACCCCTCGACGCACACATACACACACGCATTCACACACAGGGCAAAGCAGATGGGATGAAACATTGTCTGGAAGGTGTTAGGGCCCCGCTGAATTATTGTCAAGAATTTGAATGTCATACACTCAGACCCCCATACCCTTTGGAAGCTGCTGTTTGGACTACGAACACACACAATTCACTGAACACACATCCATACCTGGGTAATGCATATGGTGATGGTTGTCTTAGCCGCATGCTGAATTTAAAACTCTTAACCTTTACCATGTTGGCATTTTCCCACGACACCTGTTGACTTGTACTACTACACTTGCAGCTGAGGGCACCTGTTTATATCTCACATCATCATCATTATCAGGCGTGCTCTATTTACTGAGAGGCGAAGGCCCTCCCCATCCAGTCACCATCTCTTATGGTCACGTGGCATAGAAATCTCTCGATTTGCTGCACACGGACTGGTTCCATCGCTCCATCTCCTCGGTGGACGTCCTATCGGATGCGCTTGGGTTACTTTGGCTGCCAATAAGTCAATAATTAAGGCTTTACCGAAAGAACCAAAGAATAGTTAAAGTTATGTCTTTGTGTTGAACTTCTTTCACAACGTTACGTAGCCAACCATGTTAATCGGCGGTGCGATGGGAAAGACAACGTACAGGGGTGCATACTTTTAATTAACCTGCATACGTTCTCTAATCCAACTGTGAATCTTCCTGTCTCTCCGTTTAATTACAAGCGTGCATCTCTGTACGCTAACTTGCACACATTTCGGTGTTTGCACCATTGTGAGCGTCCACGTTTTCTGATCTGTAAGCTGTCGAGGCTCTCGCATGCACCGATTTTAAACTTTCTTCCATCTGTACAATCTCAATAAATATGGCAACGTTGGCCCAAAGTTGCCCTATCGGTTCTAAGCACATGCCAACGTTGGCCCAACGTTGCCCAAGCACATGTCAACGTTGGCCCAACGTTGTCCCAACGTTGGCCCAACGTTGCCCAAACACATGCCAACGTTGGCCCAGCATACGTTTTCACAGCCAATCCTAATTAGCTTTTCGGGTCAGGCCAAGGAGTCGTTTTAAAACGACCACGTGGCCTATCCCAAAAAGCAATCGACCCTTGTATTTCCTACAAAAACTACGTTTTCTGGACTTCATCATCAATTTCTACTTGAGCCGAACGCCTTTTTACTGTCTAGATGATCGTGGAACTCTAGCAACTCTGCAACGCTCACGCACCTTGCTGAAGCCCAGGCCGGGGAAGGCTCTGCTGCATGAGGCCTTGCCGCTGCAGGTTCAGCAGGTGCTGCTGCTGCAGCTGCTGCATCTGTAGCAGCTGCTGCTGGAAAGCCAGCTGCTGCGCCGCTAGCTGATGCTGAGCCGGCTGCGGCTGCTGCTGCTGGTGCTGCAACGGCAAGGGACGCACAGACACGCAGACATGAAACAACAACAAAAAAACTACTACAACAACAACGACAGCTGCCATTCCCGACTAAGTGACAGTGATGCCACCAAAGTGGTTGTGCAAAGGCTGGGTGCACTTTGAGGATATAATTTGAAGTGCCGAAGGCTCGCTGGCAGGGGGGGTCAAGGGACAGGTCCAGGTGTTTTGGGTTAACTTTCCGAGATGACCGGCAGATGCACCCACCTGTGCGCCCCCACTGTGTCACATGCACACACGGACGCACGTGGTGCACGCACACGCTCACACCAGTACATAAACGCACGCGCACACAAGGACACGCGGACAAACACACGTACACCTGCACATTCATGCACATGTACGCACGTTAATATACGCGCTCACGTGACATACGCGTGCACGCGCGCACACGCATGCACGCTCGCGCTCACATGCACGCAATGTTTTATTAAACGTTTTTTTGCACTCACAAGAACCCTGGAGAACCAACCGCAAAGTTCATAGGTTAATATTGAATATTTGACCTCTCCGATGATTATGTATTTCACTGAAAAGTTCAGGTTACGTTTAAAAAAAATTGCCGAGGCATCAATGAATTCCAATGCATGCGTTCATGCCACATACAACATCATCATCATCATCACCACCACCACGGTGCTCATCTATGCGCGACCCATCAGCACTACCTCCACGTATCCGCACAGGTGGTGCGCATTACCAACCAACGCATTTGATAAAACCAAATCAAAAAGCACTGAACAATAACAAAAACAACAATACAGAGGCGGTCATTAGCGGAGGCTGGGTTGTCAGCCGGCTCGGAAAATGCTTGCGAGTGATGTGTGCGCAGATCTGCCGAAAAGGTGATCAGAAAGTGTGGGGCGTGACATATCGCTTACATTTTACCGTAACATTAAGCTGCCATGGTACGTGTTAATGGTGAGCACACTGGGAGTTGCGATCAAAAGGGCCGCGGTTTAATCTCCCGGCGCGGCAGCTGCAACAACGGTGCAAGTTTCTTAAGCTCCCCTTCCCCACCTCCCCTGCCACAGCAAGCAGTGTAAATGGGTGTCAGAGTTAGTCGATCAGCAGGGCGTGCGTGGTGAGGTAGGGTGTGGATATTTTTATGTCTTCCATGGTGTCTGAGGCCAAAATGGAAGAGTAGGCCAAATACCCTCCACTAGAGGGAGCTCTGAAGAGGCTGACACCCTCAGGCAAGAGGCCTTTCGACCAGCGGTGGAATGAGCAACTTATCGCGGGGCTGTGTCTTTACCTTTCGCTTATGAGAACAAAGGGCAAATGTTCAGTTGAGAACTGCATTGAAAGGCTAATATTAATTTTCATTTGAAGCTTTCACAGGTTTGAAGGTTTCACGGATGTGGACCAATCGGTTGCAAAGACGATGCATATGCTAACGGAGCATGCTTTTGTTTGCATGTTCACCACAAGTATAACGTGTGGTTAATGCAGACATGATTATTTGCAAAAGGTTTCTGTTTGGTGTTTTAACATCTTAACACGGCTGTTTTATTGCCAGAAAGGGTAAAATCAATTCTTACATTTTGATACTGGCAAGAAAGGTCCCATGAGTATGTTTTATTGTTGATTACGACTGTACTAAAAATGTAGTTAACAAATGAAACATGACAAAACATATATAGTGATAAAACTAACACAATGGTAAAAATATAGGTAAAATATCAGACAAAATGTGGTAAAAATCCTTGAGAAATTCTACAGGCCAGTTGCAAACTGTCACTACTTTAAAGAATCAAGTGAATTCCATTTCAAATGTTTCAATGAACTGGCGGCCCCACCGGCTCCGAGTGACTTCCATGTTTCCACAGTTAAACAATCACACTTGCAGGGAAAGTCATTCTCAAGCAAGAATGCGGCGGGCAATTTGTTAAGCAACGAGTCAAAAATTTATTTTGGATGGGGATTGAAGCCTTGGGACGTTGATGAGATCTGAAGGGGAACGGGAATGGAAATCACACCATTTCTGTGAAGGAGGTCACTAATTTCTATCTATAAACTAAACTATTTTTCATTTTATCAGGTAAGGCCCGCTGAGCCACACAGCTCTTTCTTAGGAACTACAAATGATAGCTCAACGAAGTGGCTTATCGCGTGGAAATGTATAGCAGCCAAATAATCTAAACGCACGTTGATTCTAATTGTGGAGGGACAAAACCAGAGGACCCGGAGAAAAATCCACACGACCACGGGGAGGACGTGCAAACTCCAAATCTACATCCGGCGTCAAGGTCTGGATCGAACCCACCACCTTCTGTTTACCAGGCGACGTAGATAATATCTCCCCACTGTGGTACTTTTCCAAACCACGGGCTCAATCATCACTGTTCATATCATGAACCAACAAGAGTATTCGTCATTTATGGGTTTCAGTTTATACGACAGATACGGAAGTGGAGCTGTGGCTGCCAACCAGCCACACAATTATTTAGCGTCGTATCCTTGCCCCCTCCCAACATCGCCTGAGGTCGTACGTGGGAGTATCAGATAGAGTATTCAAATCCAAAATAACTAACAATGACTCGATGCAGAGATGAGCACTGGGGTGTTGTTTTTCCCACATTTCCAACACTCAACCAGTGGTGGAAATTCCACATTTTTCTGGCACGGGCCAGCCTCTTCACTGGACAAGCACCCTCGCCGAAATTCACAAAAAAATCCACCGCTCATTCGTATCGACCGTGGGTGAATTATTTGCGGGCCGAGTCGACCCCCGCCTTGACCGCGACTTAAACTCGCGACCTTCCGACCGCGCAAAGTCCCATCGCACTCGCGAGAGCACCCGCCCGGCTGGACGTACATACGGCACACGAACCTCCGCCGTCATTGTTTTGTTTGTTTAAAGTGTCCGCCCTCTCTTTATTATTTCTCGACGCGCTGCTGCTCTGGCTTTCTGCAAGGGGCTCGCGGATCACAATGGCAACGTTAAAAAGTTTAGTTTTTTGACACCGTGACCGCCCATCTGGGAATAAGTGTCCATTATGCACGGCGAAAAGGAACAGAGATAGCGGCCCGGAGCGTGTCCGTCCGAACCGTCGAGAAACGGCGGGCGAAAGGTTCCGCGCTATCAGATGTTTTCACACACCCTGCTTTGTTTACTTTTCCATCCCGCACAAAAGGAGCTTCTTAATCTGGCAAAAATCTCAGCTTCCTTTGATTGTGTTCACGCGCGGCAACGTTATCAGCGGAGACAATTTTTCTCAGTATCCTGTTTACATTTCGGCAGCAGGCTGTGGCTGCTGTCTGATGAGTGCGTGGTTCAGTTTGAAATAAAAAAAAAGTAGGAAAAGGGGTGGGGGGGTAGGGGGTGCACGGGAGGCGAAGGGGGTTCAGGAGAACCGCTGAGGTCTGTCAATTTGATTTATGAGGGTGTCAGTGCGCGGAGCACTCCACCTGCCCATCGCTACCCTCGAACGAGGCACTCAATTAATCAGCGAGCCGGCATCCTGCTACCTCACAGCTCGCTTCACGCTTTAAACGTCAGGCTAATTTAACTGCACCTCCAGGAAAGGGGGAAGACGAAACTCCCTCGCCGGCTCTCCGCGGCTCCGAGACGGAGAACAATCAGTGTTTTCGGGCTCGGCAAAGGCCTCCCTGGGTGTCGGGTGATTCATTAGCAAACATCCCAAATGAGAACTCGCGAGACCGCGGCTCTCCCGCCGCAAAAGAAAGCGAATACGACAGAAGCGGTGGTGGTGGTGGCGGCGGTAGCGGCGGTAGCGGCGGTAGCAGGCCACGTACCCCCCGCGTGCCCCTCGGCACCTTCATACCTCTATATCGCTCGCCCGCTTGGAGCCTGCATGCATGGAACGCACGGACGCACGATCGCGTTAACGCATGAACACGCGAACGCACGCGATCGTGTGCTCGGGTGAACGCGCAGACACACGATCGCGTGAACGCACGAACGCGAGCGCGCTTGCGTGGAGGACCACGGCGATCGTGGTTTACGAGCGACACACAGCACTGTGCGTTTTGAACCTCCGATTGTCGACTTTAACAGGCGAATAAATGATCGCTGATTGGTTAACCGAGTCCACGATCATCCATCTAATTAGATAAAATGTGTTACCCTCTTCTTTGGGAAGTTAATGGGTGGCAATTACATAGCTGGCGCCTGATATAGTAACGTGGAATTTCCACCATTAACTAGGGGCTTCCAACAGAGATGAAGTGCATTGTCAGCCCCATTCTCATGTGAGCTTAGATATACCAAAACACCGTCGTTACAATGTGCGATGTTAAAGAGGATATCCCCAGGACTAATATGCGCTCATAAAGAATTGACTAAACATCGCAAGCAAGAAATTAAAACGTTATCGGCGTTATTTTGCCAACTCCTGCGAATGAGCGGTGAATTCATTCGCTTGACGCAAGCAGGGGTTTAGCAACGAAAAACAAAATGCCGACATAGCCGCGCAAATACTTGTCAAGTTATCACAAGAATTTCGGGGCATTCCTTTTGCAAACGACGTTTTGTGCTCTGTGTATAAAAAAATAAGGCGGTTGAACCGGGTAGGTGTTGGGGGGTGGGGGCGTAGAGGCAGTAAAAAGCACTTTATAAAAATGAGCGATTTTTTCGTCGATAAGCATCAGAGATATACCGCGGGATTTAGCGTTAGGGGAGGAGGCAAGGTAAGGGGACGACACTGCACCCAGAAATGACAAATGCGAGCTTTGCTTGGCCACGATACGAGATAAGAGTTGGTGGAGCTAAGGAGAGTACGGCGCTAAATTGGAGAAAGAAGAGACATTTGAGATGTGTAAGGGACGAAAGAAACGTGAACGTAACGCAAAGGGGCTCTCCGACGTGTCGTCGGGTCGTGCCAAGTTGTTCGGCAACGATGTCCGACGTTTCGTTCCAAGTGCCGGGGAGCTTCTTCGGGAACCGAGTTGCTCGGGAACTGAAATGGGTGCTGAACAAGTACCTGAGCAAGTGCAGCAAAAGCGTCCGGACCCGATTCTCAACGACGCGAGAGCGCACGGCAGAGCTAGAAATAAAACTTAGTATGATCTGGCCGGGTTGGAAAGAGGAATCGTCGCATTTTTGTACATTTGCAAAGCCATTCCCCTCCAAGTGGCTTATTTATTATAGGAGTGTAATAATAATGCACTCACTGCCTTGCTCGTCAATAAACAAGAATGGGGCAATTTTGTTGGAGAGCTGTGCACTGTGGTGGATTAATTTCATTGAGCAATTTTCAACATCGCTGCTCCATTTATCTACCATGCTGTAAAGGGTATTTCATCAACGCGTTAGCTCAGAGGGTATTGGTGGTTAATATTGTTATTAATAATACTGATCGGCTCTCTATATACTGCTACGCATGTTCAAGAGAAGGTGATATTGTTGACGAGGGTGCATTTGTTACACTCTACGGATTGGCGTGACGTAGATTTCACAAAATAACAACAGATACGTACATGTAAAGATATCTTCCATCCATCTCAGAGAGACTATGCAGGCATGCGATGTCCGTGAGCACAGACGGCGGGGCCACAACTACACCCAATCCGCTTGGTCTCTTCCCCAATGCTGATGCCAAAACCTGCACTGCTGTAAGGGGTTCGATCGAGGCTGAGCCAACCGGGAGCTGGCTCAGATTCTTGTTGCATTTGGCCGACAGGTGAAGAACCCGGCTAAGATGCACATGGGTAGCTACTGAATCCAGATGTCTGGTATTGTAGTGCAGTGCACTAACCACCAGACCACCACACACCGTGGCTCTGCACTAATACGGACGTGCAGAACACTAAAAAAACAAAAAATCCCTCAATAGAGCCCGAGCCGCTTGTTGGGGCAAGTGGCGTTGGCGAGTATGGCACACGAGGTTGTGGTGTGGCCGACGCCACGCCCAGCCACCGTTGTTCTCCCCAGTGCCGATGTCTACATACCGTTACCATGCCACCATTGAAGGCAGAGTCAACCCAGGCGAAGCCCAGGTCCGGTTCACAAATCCGCGGGGGAAGATTTGCCGGTTATTGAACTCGGGTCCGCCGGGTTTGTAGCGCAACGCTCTAACCACGACACTACCGCTTCCCACCTCGATCTGCGCTGATGCACGCATGGACACACGCAGACGTGTGTGCGCGTGCACGCACGCACCTACGCGCGCGCGCACACACACGGGCATGTCGTACAAATTGCTGTGACAGGCGTTGTGGTCATGCTTGTTTGAGGGCCGACTCATCCCCCAAATTCACTGTGGATATTTATTTATTTATTTCATTCCATCTTCACATTTTTCCCCCTTGCCTCGCTCGCCCCCAACCCAGCCGCAGTAATCTGTAGCAGCGTGTAACGTGTGCACTAATTCAAATCATCCGGCGGGAGCAGATTAATATTTGGGACGGCCTGTCGCAATTACAAATCAGCCTCATGCATGCGGACACGAGGGGCGGGAGGGGCATCGAATGGACTCTGGCATTCAAATGAGCAGTGGCTTTCTCTCCGGTGTAACACGGCAGGCTCACACGGTACTCTGGTAGGCCTTCTCTACAAAAAGAGCTCGGATGAAAAGATCGAAGCGTAAAGCCAACACAACTGAACAGGCGTCATTTTTATAAGTTATTCTTGATGATACCCGAACTGTCGTCATCAACAACAACAACAACTCTCTGTCTATGTGCCGTGTCCTTTCTCACAGACGTCGGTGATCGTGGCATTCCATTTAGCTCTGTCCATGATATCTCGTCACACACATTCCTGCGGAGGGGGCTGGTAGGAAATTTTGAAGTAATTTTGAAGTAATTATGTACGGATATTTAAGCCAAACTTGTTAGGGTCGTGCGCAGAAGAAAGCAACGACGCTAGAAAGTGCAGTGTAAAAGAGGTCGCACCAGAAAGTGCAGTGTATAATCCCCTACCTCCTGTGAATTAATCCCGATTGGGCTTCCAGTCCATATAAGGGCACCACGGAGTGACCAGCCCCTCCCCACCCAGCCCCACCCCAGCCAGCCCCACCCCTCCCACTCCCCACCCAGCCCCACCCAGCCCCTCCCCACCCTCCCATCCCCTCCCCACCCAGCCCCTCCCCACCCAGCCCCTCCCTACCCTCCCCTCTCCACCCAGCCCCACCCCTCCGACGTGGACAGACATACACAATTAATCCCCTCCAGTCCACTACGTTTCCTACCAGTATAACTTTGCACTATATACTCCGAGTTGCATCCAGTTGTTCAAATTGCTTATGTACTAAATTCATTTTAATACCTTTAACATTCCCAGTCAAAACATTATATTCAATACCTTGTATGCTCATTACATGTCCAACAACATAATATACCCATGGCCAAATCACCCCAAATGCTCCTGATCTTGTGGGATCTCAGAAGCTAAGCAGGAGTTGGTCATGGTCAAGAATTGGATTGGTGAGCACCAGGGCCTGCAAGGTGTACTATAGGTGGGGCTGGCACAGTTGGCCAGGAGATGGTGGCTCCTAGTGCTGAGCCCTGCTATGCGTGGGGATCTGAGCGGTTTCCCCTCCGACACGAAGCCAGACACTGATTATAATTGTTCATGGCATTGGCCAAACAATCCAGATGCAGGACCATCCTGTTGAACAAGAGTCTTGAGACTCAATGAGGCTTTTCTTAGATGAATAAATAGTCTGATAATTAATTATCAATGTAAAAAATACTCCCTTCATTTACAGTAAATAGCCTTTTGGGCAGGGCGGGAAATACAAAACCATTTTAGACAATGTAAAACAACTTCACTTTGGACGCAGTATATGCGACATAAGAATGCATGATAAGAATGCGTAATAACGATGGTTATTCATCAAGGCTCAAGACTCCCTTCTCCTATGTGAGGCTCTTCTGTGGGAGCTCAGACTTCTGCACGTGTAACATATGTTGTTCTGCTTGCGTTGTTTGGCCAATCCCAAGAAGGCATTCGCGTAGGCATTGGCCACGTAGAGAAGAACCCTTGGGAAAATGTGGTTCAGAGACTCTTCTGCGGACATGAAAGAAAACTGTCGGTGTCTTCTCTTGACAACAACCGGACAAAGATCTGTCCTCGTATCGGCACACAGACCATTGAGGCAGGCACCGTCATCGAGCACCTCTCCAGATTGGCATGGAGCATGAGGAGGTGGTGTGGCCAACACAACCCCCACTGCCTTCACCTCATGAGTGCCCATGTTTACACATTGCACCAGGCACTCATTTAGGGCTGGGTCGACCCAGGAGAGTCCCAGGACTCGGTACGGATATTTTCCACTGACGGTGGGGCAGTGGCTCGGAATTTAACTCACGTTTGACAATATTCGCCACTGATGTTAACAATCACCAACACACGCACACACACACACACACACGTGCACAAACTACCTCTTTGGGTTGCTTATTTGAGTGCTGCTGTTGCTGCTGCTGTTGCTGTTGTTGCTGCTGCTGCTGTTGTTGTAGAAGCTGCAGGTGTAGCTGTTCCTGTTGCTTCTTGTAAAACTCCTGTAGTTGCTGTTGGCACAAGAAGGGCGGAAGTACGATGACGAGTGAGGAGAGAATTGCGACTGCGATGAAAAGGGAAAACGCGGCGATCCACTGGAAAATATTAACAACTTTATTTGGTGATGCTGCTGCTGCTGTGTTGGCACAGCTGCTAATGTGTTGTGCTTGTGAACCTCAAGCACAATTAACCAAATGAACTCAACACGTTCCTCAATAAGACTGTGGCCTTATAAAGGAAGGTATATATTCTAGGCGATGTTTCAGGTAGTGCCGTTCCTGTCCTCATATGATGTCACCGATTATATATTTTTATTTTTCCTTTTAAGGCAGTCTTACCATCGAATGTGTTGGGTTTTTAAATGGACCATGAAGGCACAAAACAAGTGCTGAAAAGTGATCGTAGGATAAGAGCTGTTTCGTTATTTCAGATTTAATTATTTCCTTATAATATTCGCAAGGGTGACACGCGCATCAAATTTTGAGAGCCATTAATATGCGTTTCGTTAAACATGAAATGCATCGATAAATAATTGCTAACAGGTCACGTGATTTCTGAGTTCATTCTGCGACTGGCTGTCGAACTGTGGTGGACATCGTTTGTTGCAACTCTCCCTACTTTTAGGCATACCTCAGGCACATCCACAACGCCTTCAAATCATCCAGAACGACGGCGCTAGACTAATTTTTCAACCTCCGGAAATCATCCCACATCACGCATACTCTAAAACCCTTACACTGGCTACCAATCAAATACAAAACACTTCAAAAATCATCCCATTACGCATCCACAGCAATACACAACCAAGCTCCACCTTGCATCAGAAACCTCATGCAGATCAAGCAAAACAACCCAAAAAACAAAGACAACCGTGTGGGACACAACTCAGCAACAACAACAACAACAAAACATCTCTTTGCACTTGCACACTAAACTCACAGCCACAACCTGCTTTTATTTTAAATATTTTAAACAACGATAGATCGTACATACATATTTACTGATTGTATACAATTGTCTGTCCTTGTGTTTACAAGTATGAATGTGATTATGGCGCTGTGCGTGGTAGATTTGTGCCAGAAAGGCACCACACGTGTTTTAAACAAAAATAAAATTGACTTGTCTTGTTTCTCACGGTCATAAAGTTAGCCAGATGACAGCTCATAGATATTCGACTTCCACTCAGTGCATGGCAGACTTGAGTAACCATCGTGGTATATTAATATTATTCACAATAAATGTTTTTTTGGGTGAAATCACGTAAGTATAAATGTGTCTAAATGTGATACAACACATTTATACTAACGCGATCTAAACCAAAAACCTTTATTATGAATTAATATTAGTATTGTGGTGTCATTGCCTATAAAGCTCTGGGTATCAACATAGATACACATACCTCCATTCGGTGTCTCCACATACAACACGGACGATTTAGTTATCATCATTTTTGGCTTTGCAGGCGCATTATCCAGCAGCATGTGTTTCAACAATAACTCTGGAGGGATTTTGACTTTCCCGGGGCCTCATCGGCAGAGTCTAGCCTGTTAAACGGGCACAGCTGCCTGATGAGTCCTACTCAAGGCGAGTCTCAACAATGTCTCGCAAGCTGCAGAAATGAACCGTAACGCTCTGCTTTGTGATCTGTTTGTCACAAATCGTATCTCGGTATTTTACTAGTAAGTATAACCTACAACAGGAATAACATTTTGTTATTTGCGACTCCACAGCATCCTTTTGTCAGCGTTAGACGGTGGCTTTTCAGCATTCACTTTGTTTTAAGGGGATTTTAATTATTTGAACATTTCGTGTAATTACTGAAAAGGCCGATCCAAGATCAGACTCTGGTGAAGCCACTCGTGGCTTTCCGATTAACAACATATATTTGCGTTTATTAATCTTGCAGAACTAGCTGAAAACACGTTTTAGTTCAAACTAATCTGTGGTAATTGTAACCAGTGGCTCTGTCATATAACCGGACTGACCCCCAACCATATGAATGTGGAATTTCCACCACTGGCTCAGGGACGGAAATTAAAATGAGCACTGCCCTAAATCCTCAACTGCGCAGGGAAACAACTTGGATTTATAAATGTGGGCTTTTGGATACAGCACCAACACACGAAGTTTGTCTCTGTTGGGAATCACAATCTCGCAGGGGTCTTTAAGGTGTACCACGCAGCAGGCAGCACGCTTAGGTAATTGTCCGCAAACATGACCGCATGTCATGAATTGCAGGCCCCATGCTAATGGGGCCTGCAATTCCTCCATCGCTCTGTCTCGCTTTTTCACACCGACAGACCGCAGAGAGAAACATTGATCAGATAAATGCAAACCGGAGGGACGTCGCATCGACGGTTAGGGAAAGGAAACGGGGATTGGGCAGGGCAAGTGACCACATGGGATGATGGCCAATGGGCAAGACTGGAGATAGAATGGCAGCCAAAGAAGAGAGCATGACCGATACAGCACGATCACCACGGAGACGGAGCAATGAGATCGGTTCCTGTGCAGGAGTAAGGTGGACTTTGGCATCACTGGACTCACGAGGGATCGCGACGGCATGGGGAGGCCTTCATCTTAGCAGCGGATAGACAATGCCTAATGGCGATGATGTAGTTGGAGTCGAGCCGTCAGATTTGTGCATAATAGTTTGTTGTGAAATGCACTGACCACGAGTCCACTAAACAACGTCTCAAAGGCATTGCACGAGCGTTGCTTAGAGTCGACATACAACCGTTCACATACGATAGAGTAGGACCTACAATTGCTGGTTCCAAGGCCTTCAATTTGCACCACACATTTAATTAATAATTATTCCTGGGGCAGCCAAAAGTTAAAGTGTCTCTCTTTGTTCAAATGAGTGAGGCTGCCGTGCATCCTTAATGCGTGCGTCCTTGAGTCAGCGGTAGTGAAAATTATCCATGAATATGGCGGGGGGGGGGGGGGTTGGCAGTTTATCCGAATGATGACATCTGTTGACGTTCCACAGAGTAGTGCTTTTTTAACGACCCCAACAAAATGATGATGATGGGCTAAGTGAACCCCCCTCACCAAACCCACCACCTCCTATGATTGGGGTTTGAACTCACAACCTTTCAATTGCGAGCCGAGCTCTCGAACCATTAGGCGCGCGGCCTGGCGATATAAATAAATAAATAATTACGCACCAAAGAGCAGAACCCAATCCAGTTTTCCCATCTGCGGCTGAATTTCCCCTTACTTGCATCGCATGTTCCAGATAGAATAGGTCAAACGGCAGCACTTTGAAAGTCCCTGACCTGTTTTGAAGGTGGTGCTTCTATCTTTTTTCCCCTCCCTTTGACAAAACCATCATTATCTGCCTCTCCGCAGGATGCCAACACCTGCTGATGATGTTAATTAATCTGTCATCCCGCGCGCCCGAACCCCGGCCTGGCCCGAGATAAGGATCTTTGCAAATGAATGTAGAGTAAAGCTTTCCCCCTTGCTCGCCTGCCTTGCCTGTCGTCACACAAAGCCAACCCCCCCACCCCCAACTCTCCTCTTCCACCTCCAATATATATTTTTTTAACACCCCCTCCCCATCCACCGCCGCCCTCAAACGCGCCCAGCACCTGAAGGACATGTTAATAAGGCAAACACCGATCCTTTCTTCTTTCACACCGAATGACTTCAGCCGAGCGTCTGCTGACGGAAGGGGCCCGCTGATTATCAGCCCTCCGCAGCGCTGTGTGCTCGGCGACCGCACGAACAGCATGACTGATGTGATAATTTCACGACACGGGCGGCACAAAGGGGTGTGAACACAGCCCTGAAGGACGCGGCGCGGCGCGGAACACCGCCGGTGTCGGGAGTTGTGCGGTGGGGGGGGGTGCAAGCAGATAAAGGTGTGGGGGGAGGGCGAAATAACGAGTTGTGGCGGTGGTGCTGAAGGGATGGTAGTTGTGGGGAAGGGATGGTAGTGGTGGGGAAGGGATGGTAGTGGTGGGGAAGGGGTGGTGCTGAAGGGATTGTAGTGGTGGGGAAGGGATTGTAGTGGTGGTGCTGAAGGGACGGTAGTTGTGGGGAAGGGACGGTAGTGGTGGGGAAGGGATTGTAGTGGTGGGGAAGGGATTGTAGTGGTGGGGAAGGGATTGTAGTGGTGCTGAAGGGATTGTAGTGGTGGGGAAGGGATTGTAGTGGTGGGGAAGGGATTGTAGTGGTGGGGAAGGGATTGTAGTGGTGGTGCTGAAGGGATTGTAGTGGTGGTGCTGAAGGGATTGTAGTGGTGGTGCTGAAGGGATTGTAGTGGTGGTGCTGAAGGGACGGTAGTGGTGGGGGAGGGACGGTAGTGGTGCTGAAGGGATTGTAGTGGTGCTGAAGGGATTGTAGTGGTGCTGAAGGGATTGTAGTGGTGGTGAAGGGATTGTAGTGGTAGGGAAGGGATTGTAGTGGTGCTGAAGGGATTGTAGTGGTGCTGAAGGGATTGTAGTGGTGGTGCTGAAGGGATCGTAGTGGTGGTGAAGAGATGGTAGTGGTGGGGAAGGGATTATAGTTAGGTGTGGTTGATGAGTAGAGAGGCGTAGCCCAAATAATTTTTGGATGCAACATTTTTTAACCGATTTCGCGAAAAGGCTGAGCATCCACGTTGAGCGGTGACGCTGAGCGGTCACGCTGAGTGGTGACGCTGAGCGGTCACGCTGAGTGGTGACGCTGAGCGTCCACGCTGAGCGGTCACGCTGAGCGTCCACGCTGAGCGGCGACGCTGAGCGTCCACGCTGAGCGGCGACGCTGAGCGGTGCACTGGGAGTGAGACGTCACGAGCGACGACTAAGGGGTGTTACTGTAATCAGATTAATCAAGGTACGTGCTTACCGGCAAGCCCGTACCGTTACTCCTATTTCACATCGTCTGTCAGATCGCCATTAATGAACGTGTACACAGCCGATTACTCGTGACGGTTATGAGATTGTTTGAAAAATCTGAACAAAGGGGGTGTGAATCGTTGTCTTCGTGATATTTCCCAGTTTAACACAACAAAGTATATCCA